ACAAATAAAGGGAAAATTATTAAGTCATTATTTCTTCTCCACCTCCTTTGTTTGCTGTATAAACACAACGTGTGGCCCCTTGGCTGCTCCATGGGAGACTGAATCTGAGAACTTTGAAGCCACAGGCTCATCTGGACTCCGACAGAGAAAGCAGGAGCAGGCTAATTTCCCCTGGTGACTGGGGGATCTGTGATGCACTTGCTGCTGCAAGGACACTGAGGTTTCAGCTCTACTATTGCTGCACTAGCGATTTACTTTCAGAATAGTCCTCTGTCCTCTTATCAAGAAGATTTATAAGTAAATAATGAATTTTGCAGTAATTGTTGAAATTAGTCCCATTTTTGAGGAGTGACTGTGCTGCAACCCAAATCCCCAAAACCTAGAAGAAAACCAAACTGGGCACCATTTGCAAACAGGGATGCACTGCTTTGTACTGGCAGACTTCCACGCACAGGAGAAGACAGGTCAGTGGTGTCTTCAGTGGGCAGCTGGAGAAGCGAGACATGGAAACCTTAAGTGACTTTGTCCTTTTCAAGAGGGTTCAACTGACAGCAGGGTCTGGGTCCTACGTATTTCCATTAGGAAAAATAAATAATCAATCAGGGCCAACAGAGATGTGAGCAACGTCTCCTATCAAGAGTCTGAATTGCAGCAGGGGAAAGGAGACAGAAAGACGGAGAGGGAGGAAGGCAGCGGCTCTGGAGATGACTGTCAACAAGAGTACACGTGGTTGGGCAGGCTTTTACTGATGGTACTGACGGCTGAAGGTGCTGCTGCCAAAATCAGCTAGCAGTCATGGGGCAAGCTGCCAGCGAGGACACGGGTTGTCAGTGAAATCTGTCCCTGGAGGTCTGGGTCTCTGTGGCTGAGAAGGAGTCCCTGGGGAGCCTGTCACTGAGGTGTAGGGGACTGGGGAGGGGGGATGCCATGGATCGAAGGACAAGCGGTGGGAAATTTGGAGTATAAACATCCAAGCGCAGCTGCGATGCAGAGTTTGCAGCTACACGCTCCTCAGAGGAGAAAGGTCACAGTGGCAAATGAAGTGGGCAGCCACTTCCTATTTCAGAGGTCAGTTATAATGGGGATGGTTACTCCAGAATAAGTCGTATCGTTTGTGTTTTCCCTTCAGCTAACCCATCTGGGTCTCCACTGATGCTGGCAAGAGTCACTACTGAAGCACAACAGTGCTCCTGTGCAAGCTGAATTCTCCATGCTGCTACAGAGGAACCACAAGAAAACAAAAAATGAAAATAAAAACCAAAACCCAACTGCCTGCAAAGTTATACTGAGCCGGGAGAGATGAAACACTCCCCCTTGAATCTAGGTCTAGTGTTTGCTAGTGGAGGGGAGACCCCGGGGATCCAGACCCCCTTCCCAGGTGGGGGAGCAGCTATGTGACACCTACAACTGTTTTTAGTTCAGCAAACAAAGCCTCAGCATCAGCCAGGCTGGAGAGAGGACTCTGAAAAATTCTATAGTGTATTTTTACCCAGGAAGGTCATCAACCCCCTGAGCGGGTAGTGGATTTAGCCTCCCGCCACCAAGGACCCTCCTGTCGAGTCTGGCTGGTGCTGAGGGGATGTGCTCAGCTGCAGGTGGAGCGGGTGCTGGGCTCGCTGCAGGGTCCATGGCCTCTCCCCTCACCACGGATGCTCGCACCGGTCTGTTAGAGGACACAACTCACCAGCAGCAGCGTTTCAATTGCCTCTGGGTTTTGGCAAAAAGCAACAAATCCCTGAATTCAGACCAGTGTAAAAGAAGAAAATCCTGCATACTTTCTTCTTCCCCCCCCCCTCCCCAGCATCCAGGTCCTACAGATCCAAACCCTGCCTTCCAGCCCCGCAATCCCCCGGGCTCAGGGTTTGAACCAAGGGCAGAACGAGATCCCAGGGAGTTGCTTTGTCTTTTATTTGAGCTACCCGGAGGAACGAAGGGTGGTCGGCTGAAAGCATCTTACCTGAGCAGCCCATCAACCTCTGGCTGGCATTTCTCTCCTCCGGGGCAGTCCCAGTGCCACAACAGTGCTTGCGACTTGGCTGCAAGTTGTGTTGAAGCCTTAGCTGGGCTGACCTAAAGGAAGTCTGTGGCCGGTGCAGTGAGAGCTACCGGAGGAAGGGTGAAGCGAAACAAAGGCAAAGAGCAAAGGTTGAAGGAGCAGGAGGAGGACAGGGCAGATGCTCTCCGCTCGCACCCCCGGGGAGGGATTTTTCACGCCCCCCCACCCAAGGTGCGAGCGGGAGCGCGGTGATGGAGAAGAAGGGAATTTCTCCCTGATGTGCCCTTCTTCTGCACCGCTACATCGGTGGGAAGCTGGAAGGGTCCCTGGCTCGCACTGCCTTCTGGGAATTGTAGTTCTCCCCAGCAGCTCAGGGTCCCCCATCCTGCCCTCTCTGCCCTGGCAGCCAGTCGGTCAGGATCAGGCCATTCCTGGCTTGCCCCAGCAAACAGCACTTGCTTTTATTTTTTTGTGGTGGGAAGGGAAACATCCCGCAATGCTGCAAGAACCCTTCTTCCCTCCCGGGCTGATGGTCTGGGACCCCTTCCAGGAAGTGTCAGGAGAAGAAAGATGCATTTCAGGGAGTATTTCTGTGTCCGTAGCAGCTTGCAAACCCCCTGGGGAGAGGTAGCAACCGAGGCTGGTGCGTAGTTGCCAGCAAAGGATCCCTTTTAATGCTCGGTGAAAGCACAAAAGGAGGGCGCAGATTTGACAAGGGTGGACGCTGAGGCATATCGACTTGATTAGCAGAGTGATGAGCACTACCTGGGAGAAGCTGAGCCTCAGCAGGACCTCAGGGAAAGCACCTAGACCTTCCTGGAACTGCCCTGTACAACCAGGCTTAACGACTCAGCA